GCTTGTGCTGGAGACTTGGGGTGGTGGGGGGATGCAGCGTGTCCATCTCTGACCTTGGGCCAAACAAAGCTTTGGGTGAAAGGACAGCTTGTTCCTGCAGCTGTCATCCCCATCCCTCAGTGCCCTTTAAATGTCTGCGGGGGGAACAGATCCAACTGGCCTCCTTGGCCCTTCCCCAGGCCTGGAGGAATTCCCGTTGATGCCTTTTGAGAGGCAGAGTCCTTGCCCCCCCTCTCCCCCAGCTGCGGGCAGGAGAGATCCCTGTATGCTCCCTCCAGAATCTGGCACCAATCTCTTGTCCTTCCATTTGGAAACCTGCCCAAAGTAGCATATCATTAGTCAGGTTGGGGCAGGATTTGCCCATTTTGCTATAGTCCCTGCACCTCGTCTTTACGGGGAGCAGCTAATTTTCTTCCCAAAACAAGCACCCCACTCTGACTAATCTTAAAAAGGCTTAGCAGCTGTGGCACTTCTATTCAGGCAGGCAGTCAGTTTCACATCTCCTTGTTCTTCTCTCTGCAGATTGCAGCAATGGTCTATTTTTTCCTACTAATTTATTTCTTCCAGCAATTTTGCTGGCTGTTCCTGGGGGGTCTCTCTGTTTTGCAGGGCTTTTTATTGTAATCCACATGGATCCCATGCAGGCTTTACTCTTGCCCAGTGAGCAGCAGAAATGGCTTTTACCATATTTCTTGCATATAATGCGCCCTCTGGTTTCCAGCAGCTGTTTTTTGGGGGGGCAAAGTGTCGTATGCAGCAAAATATGGTATTTGACCGTAGCTCCACCCAGTTATCCCTGTCTAAATCTAGTTCCCCATTGGGAATAGAAATCACAGTCTGATCTGGTGATCTTCAAAATGGTGCATTCACCCATGCAAATGGGTCTTCAGCCTTCACTTCTGGTTGAGTCCATTGTCCTAGGACTTTCCCCCTACTACACACTCAAATTTGAAGTTGTGGAGTTGTTGCATCTTTTCAAGTGCTAATTGTGTAGCTGGTTGGCTCTCTTTATAGCTGGATAGCCACTTTTATGGTGCGGTAACTGCTTTGCACGTGTGGCCTATCTATGCTTATTGTACGATTCACCAGTGAATTGCACAGTAATTGCGTTGCATGTTTGGCTGGTCTACACTTGGTGTGCTATTCACCAGTGAATTTCATGGTAATTCCTTTGCAAGTGTGGCTGGTCCACACTTTTTATTGTGCAATTCACCAGTGAATCATGTGGTCACTATGGTGCGTGCATGGCCAGCCTACACTTACTGTGCAATTCCCCAGTAAATACTCAGCATGTGTGGCCAGTAGCCATCATGCAATTAAATGTTCTGTTGCACAATAAATGCAGATCAGCTACATGTGTTAAGTTGCTGTTGCGCAATAAAAGCAGCCTGGCCCCACACTGAGTAGCTGTCATGCCTTAAGTGTCCACTCAGCTCTAAAGAGAGACAACCAGCTATGAAGCTGGTGCTTGAAGACATATAACAACTAGCAGCTGCTTTGCTCCAGCCATTTTGAATATAGTGCTGGAATATCATAATTACCTACATACCTCACTTTTTTCCTTCCAATGTCCTGAAAGCAAACAATCAAACTTTTAACCATGCAGCTTGGATTCGGTTGCCGATCCATGGGGGATGGGGAGATGTTTAAATATTTACCCTTCCTTCCCAGAACTGCTTGTGGATCATGTTAGGGCGGCACAGCATGTGGGTAAACACAGTACCTCCAAGGTGGGGCATCGCGGAAGCACTCCCAGAACAGACCCTGGATTTCTAGCAGTATCTTCCTTTCCCAGCTGAGGGAGCAGGGTTGAAAAAACCAATCCAGTGCCAAATCATTGCTACTCCCCCCAGCCCATGGGGAAACACTCAACTAATGTCCCTGGGTTGGCTCTGCTTTTTTCTGTGGCCAATTCCACAGGGATTTGGGTGTTTTCTTGGGCACATGACCTGGCCCTTTGCAGGAAGGAGGCTAAGCTTAGAGTCAATGCACACAGTTGGGGGAAGGGGCAGGGGCACATGGGGCTTCCAGAAAGCCCTGTCAACCTCTATTCTCCAAGCGTCCGAGTCTGGCTCATCTTTCTAGCCATCACTTTTTTTCCCTCCTGAAAACAAAATCCTTTTTCCCCAGCAATGGAAGAAACTCAGGAACAGTTGATGAATAGCCGATGTACCGTGGGGACAGGGATCTAGATACATCCATGTTTGGTTGTGGTTTTTTTTCCCCCTGCACTGTTTAATTTCATCTTATATTTTACAAAGGAACATTTCAGCCATCTTGCAGGTATACAGGAGACCTCAGCCATGCTCTGCGGGGTTGCTGCAGTTCATCCACCAAGTTGAAATACCTCCTTCGTATCCCATCTTCAATGAACCCAAAGGCATCTTCTACCTTGGTCTCTAGTTCCTCTCCCTCATTCCTGAATTGCTGGGTGTGCCATTTTTGAGTAGGACAATGTGTTTAGGAGTAATTAGGCACTTAGGTTGTCCTATTGAGGATCCCTCCAGCAATGGGACATTCCTCCTTTGCTTGATGTCCATCTTCCCCCCCCGCCCCGCCATCTTGGCCTATTGACCTACTCCCTTCTTGCCTCGTTGGCCTTGCGTCCAACATCGTGCCGTTGGTTTTGCACCCATCTTTCCCTGTTGACCACCACCTAATGTGTTGCCCCATTAGCCAATGTCTTGACCTGGTAGCCCTAGGGACTTCTGTGACAAGTTTCAGCAGCCCACACTCCAAGAAGGAAGTGGAGAGATTGGAAAGAGTCCAGCATGGGGATGCCCCAAAAGGATTAACAGCAGCAGGCCCAAAGAAAGACCAAGGCTGGAAAAGGGGGTCTTCCAATGCCTGAAGGCCAGCAAGGAGGAACTTCCCAATGAAGAAGTGAAGCAGCGGGATGGAAATGTGTGTGGCCAAGAAGCTCAAGTCTATGTTGTTCCGTCCAACCCAACCTCTTGGCTACCACAGTGCGTGTCCACCCAGCAGCCTCCGCCCTTCCATGGCTGCTGTGGCGCTGACCCCACCTCTCTTCCTGTCCTCGGATTTCTCCCGGGTGCTTCTCCAGGATGTCCCCTGCCCCCATGGAGATCTCACCGCTCGCCCCTGGATCCGGTAAGCCCAGGCGCAGTCTCCGACTGTCCCCCCCCCCCCCCCCCCCCCCCCCCCCCGCCCGCCCCCCCCCCCCCCCCCCCCCCAAAAAAAAAAAAAAAACCACACTGGGAAGGGGGAAGAAATTCCCCCCCATCAAAGGCAACTGCAATACATATATGTGCACAGCATTGAACTCCCAGGGACTGGACCCCTGTCCCACTCCCATTCCAGCTGACCCTGGGTTCAACTCCCAGGGTCGCCATTTTGTTTCTGCCCATCTTTCCTGGCTGGACGTGGATTTGATTCTAGCCCGTGTCCAGGTGCGGGTTTGAGTCTGGCTTCCCTGCACCCCCTCTGGCTGCAGGTCCCTGGCACCACGCCCCGCATCACTGCCCAATCAAGCACAGTCGTTGGGGCCAAGGCAGTCTAGCTCGGTGCCGGGCTTGACCTCGTGGTCCAGCAACGACGGGGTGCGTCGGAATGTGGCCGTGATCTCCTCAAAGGTCCGGCCCCGTGTCTCAGGCACCTTGAAGTAGGTGAAGAGGAAGAAGGCCAAGAGCAGCCCCGCAAAGAGCAGGAACACATAAGGGCCGCAGGCATCCTGGGGGTGGGGCAGAGGGTGGGTTCAGGTCCTGCCCCTACAGCCCTAACCCCCACCCCCTAGGGGTAGAGCTGCCTTGCCAACACCATTCTGCTCCTATTTGCATCCCAGATGCACAGGCATGGAACCTGGGTGTCTGAAACCCACACCCCCCCTCCCTTGCCCTACATTCATCCCCACATGTGTGACACACGTGTGCACACGCCCCCCAGTATTGGGGACACACATACACGTATACCTTTTACATCTGCACATGCGTACACACACATACACACCCTTCCTATTCGCGTGCATCCGTGCTCACATCATATGCATACATGTGCATACACATCACCTACGTGCAAATGTGCATACACACATGTACTTGAGCATGCACGCACCCACTTGTGCATGCACATTCCCCCTCTCCTACTCATGCAGGTGTGCATACCCCCCTCCTCCTGTGTGAACATACACACAAACCTACTTATGTGTTTACACGTGCATGCACGCGCGCGCACACACGCCTATTTGTGCTTGTGCATACAGACACACCTCCTACGTGGGCATGCACATCCACACCCACATCCCCTGCCCACCCCGGGGGCACTCACGGCCAGGGCAGGGAAGGTCATGCCCACGAGGAAGTTGCAGGTCCAGTTAGCGCAGCCGGCCAGGGCCATGGCAGCTGGGCGCGGGCCCTGCCCGAACAGCTCGGCCACAATGAACCAGGGGATGGGGCCTGGCCCGACCTCGAAGAAGGCCACGAAGCCCAGCGTGGCCACTAGGCTCACGTAGCTCATGGCTGGCACACGGTCCTGGGGAGGTGACGGGGGCAGGTGAGTGTTGCCTGCCGCTCACCCGAGTACACCAGACTGGTGGGTGAGTGTGCCAGGGGTCCCCTGTGCCCCCTGCCACCCACCAGCAAGCCCAAGGTTCCAAAGCCCAGTGTGGCCACCAGGCTCATGTAGTTCATAGCTGGCATATGGTCCTGGGGAACAGCGGGGGCAGGCAAGCAACATCTGTTGCCCACCCAGAGACATCAGGCCAGCAGAAAGGGGCAAGGGCAAGGCTATGAAGACCAGTGTGGCTGCCAAGCTCAAGTAGCTTATGGCTGGCACATGATCCTGGGGGGCAGGTGAGCATCATCCACCACCCACCCAGGGATGCCAGGCCAGCAGGAGGGGGTCCAGAGGTCCCCAGGACCCCCTGCCACTCGCCAGCAAGGCCAAAGCTACAATGACCAGCATGGCTGCCAGGCTCATGTAGCTCATGGCCAACACCTGATCCTGGGGTTGGCGGGAGCACGTGAGTGTCGACCACCGCCCACCTGGGAATGCCAAGCCAGCGGGAGGAAATGAGGGTAAGGTTATGAAACCTAGTGTGGCTGCCAGACTTCGATAGCTCATGGCTGGCATGCAGTTCTTGGGGGCAGCAGGAGTGGGTAAGCGCTGCCTGTCCAGGGGCACCAAACCCGGGTCCCCAGTGCCCATCACACTCACCAGCAAGCCCAAGGCCATGGTCATGGTCACGGCGCAGCCCAGCATCCCACCCAGGCCCAGCAGGTGCAGTGTGCGGCGCCCCATACGTTCCCCAGGGGGAGGGGGCAGGGTTCCAGGGGAGGGGGCAAGGCTCACCGAGAGCACAGTGAAGGCAGTGTTGACTACACCAGCCCCAATGGTGGCCATGGCTGGGCGCCCCACGCCCGCTGCCTCAAAGATGCTGGTGGAGTAGTAGAAGATCTGGAGGGAGGCAGGAAATCAGAGGTACTGGCTCCGCCCCTCTGCTGCGCCCCTCCCCTAGCTCCCAAGCTTCCTCCCCTTTTCATAGATCCTGTGCCCTCCTAGGCCCCACCTCTTCAGGCCCCAACCCCTAGTTCCCAGTTCTGCCCCTTCACCTGAGGTCCCTCCTTCAGCCCTTCAGGGTCCACCTCCCAGTCCTAGGCCCCACCCCCTCACACACCCCACCACTATCTCCCAGGCTTCATTCCCTCTTCCTAGGCCCCACCTCCTTATTCCTAAACCCCACTCCTATGTCCCAGACCCCACCATCTCTCTCCCAGACTCCACCTTCTCCCCCTAGGCCCCACAGCCTCACTTCTCAGCCCTGCCCCTATCTCCCAGACCTTGCCCCCTAGATCCCATCTCATCATCACTCTCAGGCCCCACATCCAGACTCCTAAGCCATTCCCTCTTCCTAGGCCCCACCTCCTTATTCCTAAACCCCACTCCTATGTCCCAGACCCCACCATCTCTCTCCCAGACTCCACCTTCTCCCCCTAGGCCCCACAGCCTCACTTCTCAGCCCTGCCCCTATCTCCCAGACCTTGCCCCCTAGATCCCATCTCATCATCACTCTCAGGCCCCACATCCAGACTCCTAAGCCCCGCCCCCTTCCCCAGGCCCCACCCCACTCACAGCATTAATGCCTGAGAGCTGCTGGGAGAGCTGGAGCATGATGGCCACAAGCAGGGGCTGCC